CTGCTCCTGCTCAGTATAAAAAATACTAGCTATTGATTATTAGTAAGATATATCACAAACACTTCTTGTGGAATCCTCAGTTTGTTCAGTGTTATCTTCTGTTCTTTTTTACCTTACGTATGGACAGAAGCTATTTCAAACGACATCGTAGTTTAATATACTTTAAGGAAAATTATGATGGTATATACACATATATGTACCAACTGAAAATGGTACATCATTTCCACGCATAAACCTATGACGATTTGTATGTTAAAAAATCTAAGCTAATCCAATAAAAACGTGATATCTTGTAAACTGATTAACAGAATATACATATCAGATACGTTTATACAGGAAGAGAAAGATGGAGTATGGAGATTGGTCTCTACTTTCTCAGTCAGTCAGTCAGTTACAACGTAGAACTTCGTACGTACGTACATCAGTTCGAGTTGCCATACCACATTAGCACAGAGATGAAGTTGTCGATTCAAATCCCATATTGGTAGAAGTAGTAAGAGTATAAGTATTATGTGAAAGATAAGGGTTTGAAGATGCTATTGAAGGAGTATAGTACAGTGAAATAAATTTGGAAAGAGAAAAAGGAAAAGGACACAAATAATTCAGAAGATTGGAATTTGGGAGAACACAAAGAGTGGATACACCTTCGCCATTGCAAACGATTTTGAGCCATGTCATTCAAGGTCTCTAACCATCGGTTGCTATCATCTCGCGAATCCCAACCAGGTAGTCTACACCTACCAACATGGCTCAGTCCACTAGTCAGTGACTTCATGGATTTATGCCATGTTTTGGTCTGGCCGCCCCTAGCTTTCTTCCAACCTACTCCTACACTATAAAGCATTGCACGTCGGGGCAGTCGGTGGTTGGGCATACGTAACACATGTCCCAGCCATCTCAACTGATGAAGTTTCACTACTTCATCAATCGATTTGCCATCCTTACCTAGTACCCGTTTCCTAACATCTGCATTACTTACCCGGTGGTCCCAGGATATACGAACAATGCTTCGAAGACATCTATGATCGAAAACTAGTAGCCTACGAATATCCTCTACTCTTATGGGCCATGTTTCACTGCCATAAAGTAGGACGGAGCGAACTGCTGCACAGTAAACCCGTCCTTTTGTTGCTAGGCGAGCCTTCTGTATCCGTGCTGAGATTTCGTCACACACCAGACTACAAGGGCTGATGAGACTCCCAAGATAAGTGAAGCTGTCAACACGCTCAACTACTTCACTCCCTATCATTAGTTCAGGTGTCGCTGCAACCCAATCCTGAAGTAACATTTTGCACTTCGAAGGAGAGAATCGCATCCCGAACATGCCTGCATAGTTGCTTATAGTGGTCAGAAGACTCTGCATGTTGTCAGCGTCTTCATCGAATAAAACTATGTCGTCGGCGTATTCCAAGTCAACAAGTGAGCCTCCTGGTAAAAGTTCAACTCCAGAAGATTGAGATGATGAAAGTGTTATCTCCAAAAGCATATCGACGACAAAGTTAAACAGGAATGGGGAGAGTGGATAGCCCTGACGAACACCACTTGAGGTAACCAATTCTGATGACAGTTCGCCATAGGCTCTAACTCGACCAGTTGTGTTCGAGTAAAGAGCCTTTATGAGGTTAATGTACTTCTATGGTACTCCTTTCACTGACAAACACTGCCAAAGGACCTCACGATCAACGGAGTCAAATGCCGCCTTAAGGTCAAGAAATACTACTATTGTGGGACGTCTGAATGTATGTCTATGTTCTAGGACCTGACGTAGAGTGAATATCTGGTCTATGCAACCACGTCTAGGTCGGAAACCAGCCTGGTTTTCTCTAGTCTGCTCTTCACGAGCTTTGGTTAGGCGTCCAAGTATTATTGAAGCTAAGATTTTAGACACTATATTAGTCAAACTGATTCCTCTGTGATTGTCACAAGAGGACTTTTGTCCTTTCTTATAGACTGGCACAATCAGTGATTGGGACCAGTCAGATGGAATTACGTCCAGTTCCCAGATTCTACCTAAGACCTCAGTCAATCTCGCTGCTAGTGCTGGACCACCATCCTTAAAAATCTCAGGAGTAAACTTGTCAGGGCCTGCGGCTCTCCCTCGCTTTAGATTTCCTATAGCTTTTTCTCTACTTTTTAACCCTTGCATACTTTAGGTAGCTTTCATTTAAGCAAAGATTCATGTTTATTGTTATACATGCTTTTTTATATATGCATGTGTATGCATACGCTTTCTACTTCTATATTTTGCGTTAATGTATATATATATATATATATATGCCCGGACCGAAGCTGGTAGCTTTCGCAGGAGGCAACCCCCAAGTCTCTTGACTTAGAGGTATGATCCTCAGGGCAGTAAAGTAACGTCAAGAGATGCCGCCTCATGGTAGTAGGTGACCAAAAATAAGTTCATACTCCATTCGTTCTCTCAGGATCCTGCAACCCATTTACATCATTGACTTTCTGGCTTCCCTAGGTGAAACCTCTGGATCAACCAACCCAGTCTGGGCTCCAGACGTTCTCACTTCATTATTGCACGTTCGTGAAAATACTACTATGCGAAAGCCCCCAAATGCCCTGGTACGGCCGAGAGGGGGAAGAGTCCGCTCTCTCTCTCGAAATGCTCTCACATGGCCAGCGAATATATAGCCTCTGCCAGGGAAGTCCTACTCACTGCCTTCTCGTGGCGGGGGTGTTGTTTACGAAAGTGAGAGGACGAAAAGCGAATGTCCGGCGCCTTAACCGGGTTGGTGGACTCGGAGAGTCCACCTAGGGGAGTTGGAAAACCCTGATTCCAAACCAATGGTGCACATGGGCTCCAGTATTCTGAGGGAACAAGTGGCGTACGAATCAATTGTTGATCACCGGCTACCATGGGACTGCATCTCCTCACGATGCTCCACTGCCTTGTGGATCAGATCTTTCGGTCAAAGGCTCCGCGTGTTGGCCTCTAAGAAAACCACCTGCTTCAGTTTGGGCACCTGGGCAGTATCACGGCCCTCACACAAATCAAGTGAGATTTGTGAGGCGCATATGTATCTGGTGCTTCCTTGTACCAATATTTATGTGTTTAAATAAATAAATAAACCATGCGAAAGCATTAGTCAAATTTCTTCGTCAGGGGATACAAATGTGTGACCGTTTCAGGGTATTTTAAGAGAAAAAAAAGCAGTTTTTCAACAATCTTAGCTATACCGGGTCATTTTGACTATGTTTATTTAGTCTATAATACAGAAATTCACTGGGACGATATAACATTTTACGTTGTTTACTTGTAAAGCGTTGTCAAGTAATGTTCAACCAATATGTCTCATGGTTTACTTAATGACAGTCATTTTCATTTGTATTTCGATTTCTTCAACAGTTGTGATCAAATGATTCTTATACTTTATTTACTTGTAATGTTATACAATTTGTTTTATGTAGCTGAATGATCATTCGTGAACTGTTTGTCACTGTATATTTTTGATTTCAATAAAATGAAACTATTCCATCTGATCTGTTTTATTCTATACATGATAGAAACAACTATTTTAAGGGGAAGAAGACATTTTATCTATTGACCTAATTTAGATTATTTGAACACTGTCATCCATTGTTAGTTATGTGTAGATAAGTAAGAATTAATTAATTCTGTGGGATTGATAACAGTTAACTTATTGAACTGTAAATTTTTGGATTAAATTATCCACACATATTGGACTTTAATAGCCAGAATTGTAATGGTTTAATTAATTTTTCATATTTTTCTAAATTGAAAGTAAGAAGCGATATGCTTTATTCGCTTTGATTTAGTATGTCAGACAGCAAACCGTACAAGTTATTATGCAACTTACTAATGATAATGAGCGAAGATTAATACTCATCATTGAATTTCACAAAATTTAATAAATTTTAGGTAATCCTTTCCTCTGTGTGGCACTGTTGAATGAAACAAACCTCTGGTCAAGAAACTGAAGTATACTTGCTTCCAGGTTCTTGCAATTAGTGAATTAAATATCCTATTGATATACTCTCTAACTTCTTTCTTCAGAGAAGTGTTGAAGCTTTATCTCAAGCGTTTTGATACTACCTTTATAGCTAACACAAGATGCTTTCTTTATCTTAATCTTTTTTGAAGTAATGTTGCTGACTGTATTAATGTTCAGTGATGAAAGATTTATCCTTCCATGACGTTGGTTGTTGGGAAGCGTCAACTGCATACACACCTTTCAAGGTATTTGAGTTGAACTTATCAACAATTAGAACACTTTTTTGTCTGACTAATTATCATTTTCCACAGGGTTGGATAAATGCACTTGATAAATGTTTCCTAATTTATTTGCCTTCTAATTTGTCGTACTTTCTTCATTTTGAAAGTTAAAATACTGGACTAATTTTATTCATCGATTCAGAAATTGCATAAAGGTCTCTTATTAGTATAATCAACTTTTTGTGCTTAAACACGTATAGAGTGAACACTTATTATATTGTCCCGTTTAAAAAATTGATAAGAACAATGATGATGTAAATACTAGCCTTCAGATTGCATAATAAAGTTTTGCGAGTCATTCGAGTGATATTTTGAATCTATCTACTCTGGTTAGCTAATCGACCAATTCAAGCATTTCATTACCAATATTTTGCTCATATTTTGTTATGTCGATCCAATCTCATGGTAGCTGGACGGTACAAGGGATATATAGAAGCTATGTTAGGTCGTGAGATATCTTTCGTTATTGACATCGTGTTATACCAACTGGTTCTAAACTTGCTTTAGTATATTTATTTAATGTTGACGGGAATCTTCAGCTCATTTCATGTGCAAGTTAGTCCGTTGTACGTTTTGTCTAATAACCTACGACTCTACACAACATGTAGAAGTGAACTAGATGTAGTCATTCTAGACCCATGGTCCGCTTGTAAAGCATCACATTTTTCTACCTTGTTACTAGTATTCATTTCTATCAGTCATAATATGTCTAAAAATATCGTAAAATTATTTTCTGATGTTTTTCTTACAGGTAGTGAGTCTATTACAGCTTCCAATGTCAACATTACCCCGATTTCTGACTATCCATTCTTAGAGCATAGTAAGACAGAGTTCAATCCTTCAAAATCAGATCAATCAAATCACTTGCTTCAATCAAAATTAATGAGCTCATACGACATAAATTTCATGAAAACCAGTTTATGTAACAATCAAGAAAATAACAATGTAAAATCTCTTCCCACGTCTATTGATAACGTATTATTTCCAAGTATGAAAAATGAAGGTACTGATCAAAATTCTATGAATAATAAATTATCTGATAAAGATTTTATAGTAGATTCTATTACCACTATTTCTACAGATCAGTTATTGTCAAAAGTCATCGAATTCCTTAATCCTAAACAAGTCGATTGGTTGAACAGCTCACCAGTTAAAAAGTCATCGCGATCTTTAATTCATCGTGTACATAGTGATGCTGTGTTAGATAGGAAAATAAGTAAATCTTGTAAATATTTGGCGAAGGAACATGATTATACTACTCGGACTACTACTAATCCACCTATATATCATCGTTCACGTTTTCATTCTAGTTCGAGTTCATCTGCTTCTTTGTCATGTTTAAATATTGATGATAATGAAGGTTTTGAGTACGATGATATTATTTCTATCTATACAACTAAAGATGAAGTAATGAGGAACATTAACACAAATCAAAAGACTATAAAACATTATAATCATGGTGGTAACAATAATGAAGATGACGGTGATGATGATCTAATTGACGAGGATAATGAAGATATGGATGACAATATTCTTCGGCAACTCGACACACTATCTTCTCTTCTTAACACTAAGTCTGATAATTTCTTTCAAGGTCAATCAAATGAAATTTCATCAGATTTAAACAAAAGTACATATATTACAAATACACCTGATGACGTATTAATATCATTCTCATCACCGTCATCGTCACTAGAAATTAATAAACATCCTAATAATTTATTACCTAGTAGTGATTCTGATGCAATAAAATTCACTGATCTTACACAAAAGACTGTTGTACTCACGGATGAATTAAACAAACTAGGTGTTACACTTGATCGTTTATTGTATAAACTGCAAGCTAATCAAATTCAGTTGGATCAGGCGGAAGATAATTTAGATTATATGTGGTATTTAAGAGATAATTTAGATGATAATTTCCCATCAAACACATCTGATTGTTGTCCTGAGTTCGGTTTAAGTGATGTTGAAGCAGAAGCTTTACTAAATGATGATGGTGATGTTGATTTAGATGGCAATGGCAGTGATGATAATGAATATAGAGGAACAGATAATGATTATTGGTCGTCGCATGGTAGGATGACACAATCATCTACTCATCCAAATGATTACTATCCTGTCCGTGGTGTTTCTGGTCATTTGTTCAGTTCACATGGAACACTTGATAGTTCTCTTTACTCTACTTTAAAAATACCAAGTGAAAATTGTAGTTATCATTCATCAAATTTGGATTCAGGATTAGAACAATCAGTTGTGACATGTTCTGAATCATATACGCATATGTTCTCACCAATGTCAGAAAAACATTTAGAAAATTCCCTTGGTCACCACTTTTTATATAATAGATATTTATCAAATTCTCAAGTTTTTAAAAATTACTCACATTCACTTTCAAAGTATTCACGTTTTAAAAAACGATGTAGTTATAGTCTAAGGAAACGAATGTGTAGTAGTGAGAGTAACCATTTTTCTACAAATGTTCTACCTGATTCTGATGGTTTTCTACATCCAGGTGGGTTTTTGTAATTTATTTTATCCGAAATTGGTGTAGATGAGAGTTTAAAGTTGTTCAGTTATATGACTTTTAACCAAGATGTTGTTGACATGTCAGTTATTCTACCTTCGTTATAAATAAGTAGTATTTATTATTATCTTTTTATATTAACTAATTTACCATGTACAGATTCGTGTACTTGTTTGTAAGCTATACTAAGTATGGAGGCTAGTGGTTATACCCAGTTGCCCAAACTGAAGTAGATGGAGGGTTATTCGAATCTGCGATTTAGTGGCTGAAAGCCTAGTGCCTTATAACCGCTAAGCCACTCCTCATTAACCTGTTGTATTTAGAAGTTTCAGCACATGAATCTGTATGTGATGTTCAGTTTCGCCTATTTATTAAGCTTTATGGAGCGTTTCTGTTGGATTAGCTGTTTTTTTATTCAACTGAACTATAAAACTATCTTAACGACTAATGATACAGATTTATCAAGTATTATTAATTTCTCTTGTGTTGTCAGCGCAATAGCTTTCGTTTTTCATATATAGCCTTCAATCATCTAATTGTAGCCTTGATTTTATTTATGCCTGTTTTGACCTCTCAGCTGGTATAGGTTGTCTACTTATAAACTTAAATAATACTTGGCCCCTTATGCTTACAACTCCGCCTATAGTTCTTCTAGAGTTACTGCTGGTCCCAAGCCCACAAAACGGAGGAGGGTTGGGCATGGGGTTAGCGACCCCATCCAGTAGAAAACTAAGTCGCTAAAAATACACTAACCAAAAAAATAATCCAAACCATTTAAACTCTGCCCTGGGAGTTGAAGGAAGAATCCTGACGCCTCATGATGAAAGCCGAGATTCTTCGGAAGTGACGAGACCGATGCACCTTCTAACAACCAGAGCAACACTCTTTATAGGTACATGGAACGTCCGGACAATGTGGGAGACCGGGAAGACCAGTCAAATAGCAATGGAAATGAGGAGATATAACGTGACAGTACTCGGAATCAGCGAAACATTGAACACAAGCTTGACTACAAAGGCTAGGTACAGGAGAGATGCTGCTGTACTCCGGTCACGAAGGGGAAAATGCTCCACACACTCAGGGAGTTGCTCTAATGCTGTCCAGGGAAGCACAAAATGCACTTGTAGGATGGGAGTCTCATGGACCTAGGATAATCAAAGCATCATTCAAAACAAAGAAGGAAGGGATCACAATGAATGTTATCCAATGTTATGCACCCGCCAATGACAGCAACGACGACGATAAAGATCAGCTCTATGAAAGGCTGCAATCAATTATAGCGAAGTGCTCACGAAAGGACCTCACCATCTTGATGGGAGATCTAAGTGCTAAAGTTGGAGTGGACAACACAGGATATGAAGATATAATTGGACGACATGGACTAGGAGAGAGCAATGAAAATGGGGAGAGATTTGCAAATCTATGTGCATTCAACAAATTGGTTATAGGTGACACAATATTCCCACACAAGCGCATACACAAAGCTACATGGATCTCACCGGACCAAACCACAGAGAACCAGATAGATCACATCTGTATCAACAAAAGGTTCCGAAGGACAATGGAGGATGTGAGAACTCGGAGAGGAGCTGACATAGCTTCAGATCACCACCTGGTTGTGGCAAAGATGAAACTGAAGCTAAAGAAACACTGGACAACTGGACAAACAGCACTACAAAGGTTCAATACAGCCTTCCTTTGAGATACTGACAAGCTCCATGAATTCAAGATAACTCTCAACAATAGGTTCCAAGCTCTACAGGATCTACTGAATGAACAAGAAACTACTTTGGAGGACAACTGGAAAGGGATAAAAGAAGCACTAACTTCAACGTGTCAGGAGGTTCTGGGCCGCAATAAACATCATAAGGAATGGATCTCTATGGAAACAATTTACAACAGTCGAACACGAGCAGAAAAAGTCAAGGCAGAGGCAGAGTACGCAGCAGCAAACAGGCAAGTGAAGAAGAGCATTAAAGCCGACAAGCAAAAATACATGGAAGAGACTAGCAACGATTGAGGAAAAAGCCGCAAGGGAAGGGAATATGAAACAACTGTATGACATAACGAAGAAACTAGCGGGTAAATATAGTAAACCAGAGAGACCAGTCAAGGACAAAGAAGGAAAGACAATCACGAAGATTCAAGAACAGAGAAAAAGATGGGCAGAATACTTCGAGGAACTGCTGAGTAGACCAGCTCCATTGAATCCACCGGACATCGAAGCAGCACACACAGACCTTCCTATAGATGTCACTCCACCAACGATCGAAGAAATCAGGATGGATATCAGGCAAATCAAGAGTGGGAAAGCAGCAGGACCTGAGAATATAACAGCTGAAGCACTGAAGTCAGACATTGAAGTAACTGCAAACATGCTTCGCCTTCTATTCAGGAAGATTTGGGAGAAGGAACAAGTGCCAACGGACTGGAAAGAAGGATACCTCACCAAGATGCCAAAGAATGGAGATTTGAGCAAATGTGAGAACTACAGAGGTATCAGTTTGTTATCAGTACCAGGAAAAGTTTCCAACAGAGTGTTGCTGAATCGGATAAAAGACGCAGTAGACGCCCAACTTCGAGATCAACAGGGTGGATTCCGTAAGGATCGGTCGTGCACAGACCAAATTGAGACACTACAAATCATCGTTGAACAATCAGTTGAGTGGAACTCATCACTATACGTCAACTTTATTGACTATGAGAAGGCGTTTGACAGCGTGGACAGGAGAATATTATGGAAACTTCTTCGACACTATGGAGTTCCTGATAATATTGTCAACATTATCCAGAACTCACATACAGTACAATGTGGTGCATGGAGGACAGCTGACAGATGCACTTCCAGTAGTGACCGGAGTCAGATATGACTGTCTACTCTCCCTCTTCCTCTTTCTTCTGGTGATTGACTGGATTATGAAGACCTTGACATCCGAGGGGAAGCACGGAATATAATGAACATCTCAGAATCAATTAGATGATTTGGACTTCGCAGATGACCTATCCCTCCTATCCCATACACACGAACAAATGCAGGTCAAGGCAGTTTGTGTAGTAGAAGCCTGCGCATCAGTATGCCTCAACATATACAAAGGAAAAAGCAAGATTCTCAAATACAACAGAGGGAACGCCAAGCTAATCACACTTGGTGGCGAAACCCTGGGAGATGTGGAATCTTTCACGTAGCTGGTCAGCAGCATCATCGATGAATGTGGAGGATCTGATGTAGACGTAAAGGTAAGGATTGGCAAAGTAAGGAGAGCATTTCTACAATTGAAAAACATATGGAACTAAAAAAAAACTGTCAACTAACTTCAAAGTCAGAATCTTCAATACGAACGTCAAGACAGTTAGTTCTACTGTACGGAACTGAAACGTGAAGAACTACTACATCCATCATCAAGAAGGTACAAGTATTTATAAACTGTTGTTTACGCGAAATACTCAGCATTTACTGGTCGGATACTATCAGCAACAGCGTTTTATGGGAGAGGACAAACCAGCCTCCAACTGAAGAGGAAATTAAGAAAAGACGTTGGAAGTGGATCGGACATACATTACGGAAATCACCAAACTGCATCATGAAGCAAGCCCTAACTTGGAATCCTGAAGGGAAGCGGAAAAGAGGAAGGCCAAAAAACACATTACGCCGGGAGATTGAAGCAGATATGAAAAGGATGAATGTTAACTGGAAAGGATTGCCCAGGATAGGGTTGAATGGAGAATACTGGTTGGTGGCCTATACTCCTCAACGAGGGGTAACAGGCATATGTAAGTAAGTCTTATGCTTACGTATTAGATCATATACTTTTTATTAGGAAATTATCTCTTCACTTAATGACGATTGTAGTTTTCACCCTAAACATTTAAAATAAATTATCTATCTTTAATCAATTGAATAATGAATGTTTTGTTAGTCTGGCTACTTAGAAAAATAAGTAAAATTAAACTTGTTGACATAAAACTGGAGTTTGTTTACATTCACAAAGAATAAATAACTATTTGTTTCCCCTACTTTGCTACCAATTGTTTTCTGTCCTCTATATTTAATCAACATGTACTTCATTTTATTATTGTATTTCCTACGATTACAGCATGTGATTAAACCACATGATACTTTATCTTGGGAATACATTCCTTTTTCATTACCGTTCATTTTATGTCGATCATTAGTGGAAACATGAAATCATTAGTTTTGTACTAGTGAATACTTACAGTGATTTATGATCGAGATCAACACAATTTATGTGAAACTAATTATTCATGTATCTAAGCTTTCAACTTTCGGTTATCCGCGTATGTGTTGAAACCCCTTATCTATATAGTTTTAACGCTATCAAAATTCGTGCAAAATAGCCTAAGTTATGATATTTTTATGTTGGTATATTTATTGTATCAGCTCACAACTGTTGTGATTAGTTTTTAAAAGTGTAGCCAATGAATGTGATCGATTCACGAAATATTTTAGTTTCTTCTAAAACTTTATAACATATTATTATTAAATTATTGGCAACTGAGTACTCAAAGTTCCATAAATGTCAAATACTTAAGACATTAATGCAACGAACCAGGGTGGGGAGAGTCCCCACTCCCCCTCGAAATACTCTCATATGGCTATGCGTATATACACAATGCCAGGGAAGTCCTACTCACTGCCTTCTCGTGGCAAGGGTGTTGTTTAGGAACTTGGGAAGATGAAAAGCGAATATCCGGTGCTTCAACCGTGTTGGAGGGTATGGAAGATCCACCTAGGGAAGTTGGAAAACCTTTATCCCAGACCAATGGTGCACATAGACTGCTGGATTCTGAAGGAACAAGGGGCGTATGAACCTATCGTTGGCCACCGGCTACCGTGGGACTGCATCTTCTAATGTTGCTCCATCCCTATCCCACACAAACTAAATAATGACTACAATTAGAAAAGCTATTCGCGGTTTAATTCTTATTCTCGTAAATTATACTCAAAACTTTTTAATATTCGTTTTATT